CTCTCCCCTCTCCCCTCTCCCCTCTCCCCTCTCCCTGTCTCAGGTTAAAATGAGCCGAAGGTAATACTCGCCATCATTATCGCAAATCAAAGTGCATGGCTCGGAAAAATCTCAGTTCATTAAACTAATCAAAAGTAATATCGACGGCACCGAGAGAATAATCGGTGCTATCACTTGTCGTATCAGTTGACACCGATACTTCGTCTGCAAATGTTATGCAAATTAGTCATGAAATAGACTATTTCTAAACGACAAAGACATTCCAACGTACAGTAAAAACGATTATATACTATGTTCATTTATTATGTCTAAAAAGGCACATTAATATTTTAGTTATAGCTCAAATGAGCGTCAGTGATAATTCAGCGCATTTATGACCACTGAATATCCATAACTACGAACAGTGAATAACACATTGACCGGTCAATTCAAACACGATKTTTTTGCATTTATACCCTCCAAAATTCTAAGTATCCCTATTTTTTGATAAAGAGCTATCTAAAGCGGGGCTTTAGGCTTTTTTTCTCAGTGGTAGACAAAGAGACTGCCGGCTAACTTTAATCATATACCATTAGAATGGTTCGACTCGTTTGAGCGGCAAAACATCACGAATGTTACGTTGTGTTTTTTGTATGTTTTCCATTTGTATTGAGCACTTTTTTTYCCCGAAAGGTCATACGGATTATCAATCGACACATAGCTAATGAGCGCTTGGATATATTCTTCACTAGAATTAACCTAGTATCTATTTTTACCAGACATTTGATAGATATACAGAATATATAAGATACTCTATGTTATCACCAATCAGATTGAAAAGTACGTTGGTCCAACCCTTTGCAACCTCGCTAACTAACTTTTGATCAATAGGGATATTTACCAAACATTGGGTTTGATTCCAAAAAATATTTCTACTTTGATGTGGGTAATATTAGCATTAATTAGGCTTATCATTTATTTCGAGTTTTGTTTTTTTTGTTTTTGTTTTTTTTAATGAAACGCGCAGAATCGAATCTGAGATGGAAACGCACTTGCTTAACATCGATGTAGTTCGAAAAATTGGCTAATTACTATACCTATCAGTGTCGTGCGTTTTGTACTTTTTGTCCCTTCTTATATTTTCTCATCACGCTTTATAGCTTTTTACCCTAGACATATACATTCATATATTGTCTCGGAARGTGGGATTAAGTTTTCTCGTGATTAGAACTAATTACTGGCTCATATAATAATATACGAGAACCCAGAAAAAGTCATAATTTAGAAGATTGCATATCATAAATGCCGCAAAAGTAACCCCTTCAAGCCATAATATTTTTGGCGAGGGATTTCTATGTTTTGTCATGGGTCGAGAAGCTAGACCAATAGATATTAATCCAGGTACTAGATTTGCCTTCTTGTGTTTTGTTTTCTGCTTTTGTTTTCGTTAACAATAAAAAAAGCAATAAACGGGAAACCATTGATTCAGCTGTTTGAATTTATAAATCTCTCATGGTAAGAATCTCATATAWTTGGTCTAAATTTAAACTTATGACTTCTTTTACTTTCCTTTTCCACAAGATTTTCACATATTTCAAGTACCTTTCATTCGTAATTTCTAATCGACAATTCAGCCAATGTCTTTGATTAGGATGTACACAATCTGCTTTACCTTGTTAACTTATTGTTTAACGATGTTTTGTATTTTGTTGACAAATCTATGACTGGAAGTTAAAGCACGGGCTACCTCTTATTAGACATTCGATTTAATTCTTCCACGGCTTCAATTGGCACCTATACGTAAATATGCATGTTCCGAGGAGATTTGGATTTTAGAAGATACAGCGAAATGATTATTTTTGACTTGGTTTTATGATGTTAATCATGATTTAAAAGTATGCATGTTATTAACTCGACAACCTGACCAAGTTCCCTTATTTCGGCACATCAGTTGGATTACTAACCGCCTATCTTTTCAAATAAGAGGATTCAAGTATGTCTGTTCCGAAATCCAAACAGCAAACCATGGCATACAATATCTAGTCAGCGCCTCAGACCTACAAACCTCTGGGCTAACATATTGTTTTTATTCGTCTTTAAAATCGATAGACGAATGAAGGTTCTTTGGTGTTTGATGCTAGTCGTGCTTGTGTTACAAGTGCCGCCGCTTTATACAAGGTAAGAACTGTTTTYCTTCCCATAGATTTTACTGTAGTATGATATTTGCAAGGCGTTCACATTTTGATTGAGCTTTGCGGGTGACCAGTGTTCTTGACTAAAGTAATACTTTTATGTGCATCATAAAATCATTGTCTTATAAAAAGCTTGCAAATAAACGTTATTTATTAAGCTAAAAAGAAACAAATGGTAAAAAAAATAATGCACATGATTGAAGTCCGAAAGTATGTCCAAAAACTAAACACAGATAACTATGCAATAAATGATTTATTGCCTTTCGCATCCATAATTTTATTGCAATACCCACTACTGTTATCAGGTCAAACAAAAGGTTCACAGCGAAACAMTCTAAAATATTTCCTGCAAAAATGGTATTTTTCTGTTGCTGAAATTTAGCTCTAGGCTCCAAAAAAATATGCACCAAAAATAGTTTTCGTAAATACTAATGTCAATCTGGACTCGGCAGTACAATATTTTCTTTGTAACAACAGAATTGCCCAACACTACATCCAAACATCCCATTGTTTTTATGGCAGATTTTTAATTTGACTTAATTTGAGTTTTTCTCCATAAATGTCATCATCATAGCAAGAAAAGTCTTTGGAATTTTAGTTTTTGTAATAAGACATGACGCAATCTTTTTGAAAAGACCACAGCACGATCASTGATATAGTGGAGGTTGTATACTAAAATACCACAGCACGAGTATTGTACTTATTGTTGTAAATCAGTCTTATGGAAGTCGATTGTAAATATTTTAATCTAAATGTGAATCAAACTTTTATGGACTACATTCATGCTGCTCGTGCGTATCCTGCTGGAACTATTCAAATCTTGGGTCATRGCTTTTGGCTTTTTTGGAAGATAAAAACGATAAATAAAAGAATTATAGATGTCACACAAAAAAAGAGCGAAGGTACAAAAGTTGTTCTTAAAGTGTCTATTTTGATTATGTCTGATTATTCTAACATAACAATTGCAACAAAATTAGTACACGATAGCTGTTACTTAAAAAAAAAAACAGGATGAATGTAGAAAGGGGCCGAGGAAAAAAGCAAATGAAAACTTTACAAAAAATAAAACTTTACAACAAATTAAACGCAATAAAAATAAAACACAATAAAAATAAAACGAAAAATAAAGAATAGGAATGAAAGAAATATCTAAATAACAGAAATTTAATTTATAAAATAGAATCAGTAAACAAAAATAAAATGACAAATCGAAAATCGAAAATCAAAAACAAGAACCAAAATCGAATCAAAAAGGAAAACAAAACAAAAATATCATTGGAAAAATAAGACAAAGGATCAAATGAAAAATGGAAAATGAAAAGTTATGAAATAGAAGACAAAAAGAAAGAAAGAAAGAAAGAAACGATTGAAATATCAACTGAGCTCACCATCAATAAAAGACTTCGACATACAAAGTGTTTATTTTCATCAATCTTCTAAAGTCTATTTTAAATTCATTCTGTGATTTGATTTTCTTTCTTGGTTTTCAGGTCTTTGCCTTCTGATTACAGCAAAAAGGAACACGTTTCACCAACCACTGCGGCACCGTAAGTCCTATACTAAAACCCTTCTTTGAAAGATACTTCTTAATTACACACATTCATATTTGTTTTCACTCTGCCATTACGATGACAGCTTGACCATGTCTTATTAACACTATTTATGGCGGCACTCGCTGGAGACAGTGCATTATTCATCTCCTTTCTACCACTTCTTTCTCTTTTACTCCGACGAAGGACTAGCGTCCGAAACGTCAGTAAGTTTTTTCATCTCTTCACGGTGTATAATTTACCTTTTCATCATTACTGTTTCATTAGAAACACCGACGCAGCTCACACTAGTTTTTAGCTAGTTATATCTTCTTCTTACTATTCATAAGTAAATTTCTGTTTTTCTAAATAGTTCTTTTAAACGCCGTTCTCAATTTTTATTCATACTGAGAGAGACGATTTTCTCATATCCAGTGAAATTACAGTAGAGATTTCACGATAATCTCCAGGACTCTATTCATTTAGCATTTAATTGGCGATTTTCTGAATCCTTTACTGTGCTAAATGGTTTTTCATTGAATAAAATTATCGGCGCCTATTGTATTGAAGATTGAGGCGCTATTTTGACTCGTGTTTATTTTGAATATTTACTAAAACACAGTCAGCTATTATAACAAAAAAATCTTTCATATATAAAAATAAGCTTTCGACTGAATTTTGACATTTCTTTTTATCCTTAAGAAACCGCAGATTTAGTGATTAAGATGAACGGATAAAACTGTAAACAACTACTCAAGATTAAACCACAAAATATATGAATTTGGGTTTTTTCTTCTTATTTCAATCCCACGAGAAAATGAATTTTTACGTTTATGTCAACGAATAATGTTTTAAAATATAATCTCTCAATGACGTGCTTTGGAATTATACTTYGATGCTGAAGTTAGATTGAATACAGTTCATATTCTATGGTTCCAGAAGGTCTGGTAAAATCATGATTCTAATTAGGTACTAATTACTCACAGATTGAATGCAGCACTCTAACTAGAACCTAGTGTAACGAATGGCSACCTATGCCAATAATTTTCCTTTACAAATTGATCTCTTTTTATTAAAAGCAAATGTTGGACAAAGCTAAAAATACACGCTCGAAGAATTAACTGCCAATTAGCGATTTTTAAAACGATGAGAGGAWCGCGCTCCTCCTCGTCGCGTCATATATAGATTAAGCCTTCAATTTAATCAATGTCAAGGCTTGGGAGATTCACAGATAGAGATTAAAGTACTTTGTAGCGGGGTTTTGCAGAGGGAGTAAAACCGGAGAATCCGGTGAAATACCCTCGGATCAAGCGAGAGACCTAACATTTAACCTAACCTATAATTTTACTCGCATGTGATTCCGAGTCTTGGAATAGAACCCTGACCGCCCTGCCGTAAGATGCGAGTGTACTACAACTGCGAATATTGGGCCTTCATTCCTCATTTTATTAGAAGTGGTTTTGCAATGATAAAAARAGCTTATACGTTGGTAGAGTTTGATTTAACCTTTTGAAAGTAATTAAATTTTAAATACACAAGTTTAATTTTATCCGCTTTCCTATCCATTCACCTTCATATTATTTAAGATAAACACAGTTTGAATTGTGTTTCTATTACAATTAAAACATTATAAGCTRATTACGATTTTGAGACGACAATACAACRAAATATTGACGGCTAATTGGGAGTATATTCGGTATTGCGCGGAGTCGCGAATACCTAATATATTTTCTTCCAACGCAGTCAATATTTCGTGGTATTTCGTATTTAGTTTTGTATCGCGATTCTAAAGAATCTAACACAAAAAAAAGAGGGGGGGGAAACTGAACGATTTTTGTTGATAAGGTGACTGCCTACTTTTGGAAATTGGTTTAAACATTTTTTAAAACTTCGATTTTTCCKAATTGAAATTTAATRCTGATTCCAAATCTGGAAAGAAAAATAGGATGTCCCGAGCTCGTTTTTGAGATAATCAGCATTTAATGGAAGCCTACGCATGAGCTTTTGGAGTAAAAATTTCGCCACCGGAAGCCGATTAGAAAAAAATTAAGATTCATAAGATAATAGTTATTTGCAGACTATATGATTGCACGAATGAAGGCTAGTCAATCATTCTACAATAATACATGGATATTTTCGACAAAAAGACAGAGAGATACATTGATTTGTCATATTTTGTAGTTTCAGTGCTCTTAAAAAATCTCATAAAGTCGAACAAAAATCCCTACAAAAATCTATTTTTTCATGTGTTACTGATTTAAACTTTTCCTAAAATATTGATATAACATAGATTTTTAGGAGTTTTTTCGAATGAGTAGCTATTAAGAAATAGAGAGTCCCGTGCAAAATTTGAGGGTTTTGCCCTGTTTCTGCTTCTTAAAACACAGACACACGGTGCAACATTGCGCGCAACATTGCAGGCAATGTAACTGAAGTAGAACTATTTTTCTACTTCAGCAACGTTGCGTGCAACAAATTGCAGTTTGTTATGCCTCGCAACATCAATTACATGCAACATTTTTCGCAATGCTGCATTGTGTGTCCGTAGCTTCATTCTCGTGAAGATCATGTAGCTTAGAGTTGAGTTATCAATGTTATTTGTAGAGGACGAAACCATTTTATAGGCTTCGATTAGTCTGGCGGGTTTCGATACATGCCCATAATTCCTTTCCCTTTTGGAATGACTCATCGCTTTGGCTCCGACAACTTTTTTTTAAATATATGTATTCGCAAGTTAATAATTATTTAATTCATTTGGATCTTTTGTTGTTTTCCCATTTCAGATCATATGTCATTGAGGATTGTCTTAAGAATAAGATTGTTTGTTTGAGATGTATCCATATGCAAGTGTCTTGTCATGCGCAGTCGTTAAACAAAGAAATRATTCTCTAGGAAATGACACGCGCTCAGAGATGGGAAAACATGTCACCAAGATTAACTAGGTTTAGATATCCCCTTCCATGTAAATGTCATCGAGAGGTCTGCCTCTTGTTTGGTCACCGGGAAAAGGTGGAGGAGTTTCAGAAAAGTTGTAAATAATGTATCATGTCTTTCAGGGTTCCTGGATGGGGAAATCTATCAGAGGCTGATGTCAAGCTTCTTATTGAAAAAATGAGTATCGTCCCTTCGTAAGTAAAAAAAAGGTTAAGCGCTTTTTACAGTGCAACGCGCAAAGTATGACCACATTTAATGAATTGCTTTTGTACCTTAACCGACACATTTCGATGCGAAGCTGGCCGTTTTTACAAAATAAGACGTGTAAACGCTTGTTTGGCAGAAAAAAACCGCATAGAAGTATGCAAATACATTGAAWGTGTTCATGTTTTTGCGCGTTACGCTGTAAATTTTAATCCAACTCTGATGAATGTTTGAACACTTAATGTGACACTGATGCGGCGCCTCTCGTAGCCTGGCACCGCGGTGGTCGTAGGTTCCATTCTTTTGCTATGCTGATTTGTCACTATCAAGGGAGCCGCTAATAAGAATGCATTGTTTCATTCAGTATCGAAGAGAAAATGTGTGAATCTATTTTAGGAGGGTACTTTTCCCTTTTATTTCTCAAYWGACACTGTTTTCTTTGTTATTCACAAGGCTTTATTTTTGTCATAACCCTCATTATAAATGCGAGGTCAATATATAGTTAGTTATTAACCCGGTTAATAACTTTATACACCTACATGCAAGAACGTTGTCATACGATATTAGAACATTAGTAATTTAGTGAGAAAGGAATACATTAAAAAAGACAAAAGAAAACGTTCAGCTTCAGTGATCTTCTTTTGTTTTTTAATATAATTCCTATCCCACTAAACCACTAATGTTCTATTTTCGTATGACAACGTTCTTGCAAGTAGGTGGGGTCGGTGTCCACTGGTAGAACGAAGCTTGGGATTGGGCAAAATAACGAAAACAAAGAAAGCATGGATTATGGTGAACAATGTGTATTGTTCTACATGTGAGCTGCGTTCTTTGTTTTATCTCACCATTCATTGTTTGTTCATCCACTCCCAGGCTTCGTTCTGCCTGTTGTGTGTTACCCAGTAGGTGTATAGACTTAGCATTTGTAATGAGCAACATTTGATAGAAAACCTTCTCAATTGATAAATAAAATAATTAACTCTTATTTAAAATCGTTTTTGAATTTGTAAATCTGCAACTTCGAAAGCATCACCTAAAGAAAGTATATCTCTCAAAACACTATGGCATGAATGATTTGATTTATACCTTTTTTATTCTTTGTTGTGTAGTTTTATCATAATGTTTAGTTTTTGTCACTTTTGTGTCATGTAAACTCTACTCTTCTTCTAGTTTAATGTTTTACTCTGACGAAGGATTAACGTCAGTGCAGTTATATCTTTTTTCCATCGGTTTGTTGACTCGTTGTATTCAACACTTTCACCAACGCAGTCCCACTAATTAGTCATTCTCATCATGTTTTATATYGTTGTCAGAACTAAGACAGCGGAGCTTCGTCCAAAGGACGATAAGGTCAACAAGCCCGGTGAAAATATTTCCAGACTTCTGGAGAAGACATTTCGACACTATGATAAAAAAATAAGACCATATTATGGAGGTAAGTGTTTTTTTTTCTTTTGTCGAGCCCATTCTTTGGGCCTTCATCACCTATCAACGAACGCCTAAATGTCCCTGTTATATTATTGACCAACATAAAATAACAAGGAAAAGATGGAAGAAGAATGCGAAACCTTTGTTTAATTTGTCGACGCGCGACATAAAAGAACTTAAAAAAGAATAACACAGAAAATCTGTCATTCTTAATAGAGTTCGATTATTATCAGATAACTTACAGTGCAACTACTGTAACCAGGGCCATTTTGACCAATTAGACAAGAGAACCAATTAAAATGTAAAATGAAAACAATACATTCCAACTTTGTGAAGTAGAGCTTATCAGAAACCTAGACTGCACGAGAATTGTAATTAACATCTAACCGGACTATCCGATTTAGCCAAGAGGGCGTGATGGATGGTAACCACCACGTCACATAAGTAACTTTAATCTGGAATAAAAAGGAGATTAAAATGTACCAAGGGTCGGTGACGCAAGGTGATCCCCATTAGTCTTCAACAGTCCTCATCATCAGCCGGTTCTTTTCTTAATCTTTTCCCGCTCTTTTCCGTTTTGTTTCAGTTCGAACCCTAGATGTAGGACTCAACATGCTGTTTTTGTCATTCGGGGAACTCAGCGAAACAAACATGGTTAAGAGAAGTTTATATAATATTCAGGTAATCGTGTGTGGGACCCAAGAAAAAATTAAAGATGGCCCATCTTCGTGTTTCATACATTGAACGAGTCTTGGAAACACGAGGAAGCTGATCTTTAATTTTATAGGGGACCATGACGATCACTTGATTGAAAGCTTTATTGTATAATTTATATAAGCATTTTCGATAACACTTTTTAATGTTTTGGCGTCACACAAAAACATGTATATTTTCATATTTGGGAACCCAGGGGTAAAATGATGCCGCTCCATTCTCGTTGTCCCTCTAGCCCGCTTTGAGCAATGAGGGTTATTCTAGCATATCAACTTAATTTTTTTCTCCACTTTATTTTAAAGCCGTCCCAAGACTGACACCTTAACCGACAATTTAAAACAAAAAATCGTAGATTTGATCTTCAATATCTAAAAGGCTTATTTTAATTGGCAACTTTAGGGCGAGTTTTGAATTTTAATCAAGCTAATTAGCGAAAGMGTTTTTTCATCGCATAAAACACCTCAATATTAGTACGTCTGTGAAATTTGAACATGATTGGATAAAAAGAACCAGAGTTACAAGACTTCAAAAGTCTGAAAAATTTATAAAGAATGTATTATTACAGGGGACAAGTGTTCCCTATAACCATACATTCTTTGTAAATTTTCAACACTTTTGAAAGCCAATTGTGGTTACAGTAATCAACTTTATTCGAAGAAAAGAATAGAAAAAAGATAAAACTAAAAAATTCGTGGTATCCTAGCCCGTCTCGTCCCACGAGGCGCTCTTACAACACAATTTGCATACATGATATCCGCATACATTATAAAGCGCGCGAAAATTACAACGAAGACACGACACCAATAATTCTGGATTTTTTCATCCAATCATGTTCAAATTTGTCAGACTTATTAATGTTGAGATGCTCAAATGACAAAAGTTGTTTTCTAATAAGATTAAAATTCAAAACTCGCCCCAATCTCTTGCTCGTTTCTAAAGAAGCCAATAGACCAGTTTCAAATTCCAAATTCCCGTTGTGTTCCTTGATTGCAGACTCATTTGCACAGGGTTAGCCTCGTATCAGTGTTTAAATATTCACAAATACCAACGGTAAAGTAAAGAATGCACAACTTCAACAATACAAACACTTTGAAACTCGACGGAACTTGACTGGAACACGTGAATATTCTGCACAAAGTCGAGGCTAACMCTGTGCAAATGAGTCTGTAATCAAGAAACACAGCGGTAATTTGGAATTCGAAACGGGTCTGTTGACATCTGAAAATATCCCTCAAGGAACTACGGTCTAATTGCTTGTGTGTGAACTAAAATGGATGTATAATAGCGTTGAGAAACCGATTTTTTACTCCCATATTGTTCGTTATTTCATGTCGTTGTTAAGCTGCCTTTTCAAGCTACACATTTACCCATCCTTCTTCTTGTAGCTTCTTTTTTCGCATCAGCTGCCTCAGATATCGAACTATTACTGCAGTTGAATTGATATGCATGGTTTGCAGGCACTAGTCCTCAAAAAAAAAAAATCATAAGAAGCGGTGGGGTTGCTATTATGGTTGATGTAACTAAAGCTAAGGAACTAGCCAATGCAATGCAGATSCAGATCCAGATTTTTCAAAATGGTCGTCAATCAGAAACGTTGGCGAGATCAGCTACACAAAGAGGGTGGGTTTATATTTCATTTTACTGTGCGTTTTCAAAGAACATGACTGGTTTCACAAGACCTGATCGACAAAGCGGGGCATCTGAAAAGTGGAAAAAGACCTTCTCAACCAAAAAGAAATCAAGCAAATCCAAAGCACTCGACCTCTTACATTCTTAAAACAACTACACAATTACTTCGAATTCATTAACTTTGTACGTCCTTCTTTATAGGAGTTTACTGTAGATATGTATCTAGGGCAGTTCTGGACCGAACCACGGCTTGCATTTGGACTCAACAGGACCATAATCCTCAGTGGCCCTGCTTCAGAAAAGCTGTGGGTTCCTGATACATTTTTCTGCAATTCTATCGATACTAAGATCCATACTTTGATATTCTCAAACAAGAAGGTCTGGATAGACCTGATGAATGGGACAGTCATGCTAAGTGCAAGGTAATTTCACTTGTTTTGCATGWCCCCGTTAGTTACATCAAAACAGGACGTTTGCATAATGGCGTCATTTGACTCTCACTACCAAWATTCTTTGTGAATTTTCTTTCTTATACATTATTCAAATTTTTAATCCCTCATGAAAATAGTAAGACAAAAGAAAGTGTGCAAGGGAATCTGGTAGTACAAGTGAAATGATGTMATCTTGCAAAAGTCCTATTGCACAACAACAGAAAATAATCTACCTATCAAAAAAAATCTTAGGTTTACCAAGTTTTGTATTTAGTATTTAGTGGTATCTGTTATTCTGTGCAGATTRACTACTAGGAACTCATGTAAAGTGGACTTGAGAGATTACCCAATGGATGAACAAACATGCCATCTGCCTATTGAGAGCTGTGAGTACCTTATAAGTCGAATAAAAATCCGTTATCTTACGAAATATAATAGAATATGATAATTGACAATTACAATCAAATGAAAGGTGTTTTGCATGATGTCATTGTATTGTCACTGAAAGATTGCTTGGCGCTTGTCCCCAGTAACCATACATTCTCTAAATGAGTTCAAAGGGTTGTAGATCTGCTTCTTTTCATGAGTTATGTCCAAATTTGCCAGGCTTACTATATTAATATAGTTGAAATGCTTTTTCAAATGAAACCCTTTTTTGCTGATTAGTTAAAAATTTAAAAAGAAACTCGCCCCATCATTCTCTTGCTCTTGTTTGAAACGGCCAATTTTAGCTCTCGATTGTCAAGGCACATGCTTTTGCGATGTATTGTAACCACCTTGATTGACACACACGAAAATCTACTTTGCCACTGCAGCAAACAAGTGTAACCATTTATTGTCYCACGTCTTTAGTTTCCTATGAGGACAAGGACCTCAAGTACACTTGGAGAGCGCCGTTTGGAGTTGGTACAGATATTTTCATCTACGACACTGAGATGGCGCAGTTTGAAATTGTGAGCGCAAAGAGATTCCTAAAACATCCTGTATACCATTCAGGTAAACTGAATAACACCATGAATGTCACACTAAATAACACTCTACTACTCTGAAATTCAGTTTACCTGCGTCTTAACCTACTCAAAAATGAGCAACTACGACCATTATAGATCAGGGGCATAATGGCAGTACTCACTTATTTTTGAGTAGGTGAAGAAACAAGGATCTCCGAGGCAGGAAGCGTATGTATACCTTAATTCCATATCTGGTTAGATTGTTTTGATAATGGCCTGCGTGCACATTAGCAATACCAATTGTTCGACTGATCTATAACTTCTTTTATACTCACTATTAACACGTGAGGCCCGTTAATTCATACGTCGCACTATTGTCGCGCCGAACCTAATAGTTGCGCACTCAAAGGCTCGACGGTTTCGGACCAAATSCTTATTTTTTTCACTATATATTTCTTGGACTTCTTTATGCAATGAAGAGCTGATAGTCTCAAAATAATGATATTCCTATGCGAAATGCCTTGCCWCGGTAAGACAAAGCCACAAGAAGTTACTGACAATTAGGTTCTACGCGACAATAGCGCCACGTATGAACTGGAAGCGAATTCTTCTCAGCATGTAAGAGAATGCAGTAAACTCTTGAAACTTAAGAAATCATTGTTAATGGGAAAGAACGACAAATAGTTAATTAGACTAAAATTTGAAGAAATCAGAAATGTCTTATTGGCCGTACAGCGGAATTGCAAGATACTAAAAGGAAACATCAGAAAGTCCAGAGATCCTTTGCGAACCTTTGTAACCATACTTGGTGTCAGTACAGCATACCGTGGTTTTACAGTAGGTTCGACATTTAGTTTTTTTCGAAGCTATTTTACCCATTTCAYTCATTCCATTTCTTGGGCAAAATATACCTTTCCCAAGATTGCTCCAGTTGCCACCAAACAACGGCTCCAACTCGAAGCTGGACTTAAGTAAATATATGAGCACACCGAACCTAAACTAGACTTGATCYATTGTTAGTTTCGTGGTCACCGATCAAGCAAGGAAAAAGTCTTGGCAATCAAAGATCTTTAAAACTTTCATAATGTAGTTTATTGATTATCTTGATTTTCTCAAAACTACACTCACCCGGACGATCGCACGTCACAACAAACTTCAACAACATTTATTCTTATTTATTTCGTTGTTGCTGTTGTTTGCAGATATGTTTTCTGGTCTGACCGCAACAGTTCGTTTCCGTCGTCGATCCTTGTACTATATTTTCCAGATGTACATACCTTGCATTTGTGTGGTGATTGTCTCTTGGATTGCGTTTTGGATTGATCATAAAGAAGGTTCCGAACGAGTTGGTCTTGGAATCTCAGCGCTGCTTACTATTAGCTACATGAGAGGATCTATGAATGCTGGGATGCCTCGGGTGTCTTACTTGAAATCCATTGATTATTTCTTATTGACGTCGTTTGTGTTTGTCTTTATGTCTCTTATCGAGTACGTGCTTGTGATAAAGGAGTTTAGAAAAGGAAAAAGAAAAGGAAAACCTGAAGTACCGGAGATTCTCCCTGGCACTCAGGTTAGTAGTTAATGTAAGAAGCATTTACATTGAGGGGGTTAGAGCAGCGTARTAGAGGAATGATAATGAATGGATAAAAAAGAGGAACAGTAGAAATGAAAAAAGCATATTGCTGTTCTTAAGTTCAGTGAAAACTTATAATAAGCTGGTATTATTGCGTAGCAATTTTTGATCCTGTACTCAGCCCTAGATCTTATTCATAACTGAGTCCTTGTTAGGTTGACGTTCCTTTTGAATTTTTGAACAGGCGAAATTACGGGATTACGGGAAAGCATATAAAATATTGGTACTGAAAACCACTAGATAGCAATATGATTTCATGTCATTTTAGTAGGCTTCAGGAGAACCACTGAAGTTAAAGTSAAGGGCTTAGGTCACTGTCTTAGCTGCTTTTCTCATTTTTATCCGCGAATCAGAAGACCTTTTGGATTCTTCCAATCGATTTTTTTTTGGCGGAAAACGCGGAACGCGGACTCATGAAAGATGAAATGACGTCGGCTTCGTTGCCCTGCGCGACACTGTTGTCAATAGTTGAGTAATAACGCGTATTAATTCATGTTTTTTCCTTCAGATTGAAAACGAGGAAAATGAGCCCATGATTGTAACAGTAACATCAGGAAACAAGACATTTCGTTTTCATGATCCAGTGGATGATTATGATGTAATGTCTAACACAGAAGCTGAACCAAAACTGAACAACCAGCAAAACTGTGTCAAATACAATTCACAGAAATCTAGTGTCCAGTTCTCCAATCATAATAGGACTCCCGGACGTCGGCGACCGAGCCGTCGTGATTTCCAAAGAAAATCATCTGTTGCTCGGTTCATTACTAAAACAGCCAAGACAGTACGACCAGAGAAAGGCGTACATACTCTGGACAAATACTCACGAGTCGTGTTCCCCATCTCTTATATTCTGTTTTTGATTATCTATTTTTCGGTTCAATATCAATTGGGGTCGAGCTAACGTTTTAAATGAAACTGCAAGAAACCCTTGTGGATGTGATTTGAAATAAAGACAGAGAAAGAGAGTGACATGCGGCTGCTTACTGCAATACAGGCTGGCAGGTTTCAGCCATAACTCCATTTAGTCGTATACCATGGTACCGAAAATCATTATCTATATACCTTCCGTTGTAGCTTGGGTTGCGGTCGGCGACTGAAGAAATGCACAAGAATGTCGTTTTGTTCTTTCTCGGATGGAAATCATATGTTAACATAAAATAAAAGTCCATTGTAAATACTGATGGAATTCATTTAATACATCGAATGCAGCGTCAGTATTCTATCTACATCGGCTCTACATATCGGTAGCTTTCAATAAAAAGCGGTGGAAAAGCAAAATGCTAGGAAAGATGCCGCCAACACTTGCTACGGACTAAAAGGTAGCTACACTTTGAAAATTTCAAGACTTTCGCATAGCTAATTTGAAGAAAGTTAATTTCTCCACCAGAACGTGGCCATGGCAGAGCTTGGAAAACGTTGTAGGCAACGACATAAATGATAACATAGCCAAGCAGGGTATGTTTTAATCCTGCTTTATGTTTGATTATATTAAGACTGCAGCAATGTTTTGTGTATTCACTTGATGTRAAAAAAAGTACTCACAATGTACGTTTTAAGAATAGAATAATGAGATGATATAAAGAATGATGAATAATATGTTTYTTTTGATAGGTCAACAGTTTTTATACTATACCTAGAGCAACCCTCGTTTTCTTGTTTTGTYTTGTTTTTTTCTTGTTTGTTTGTTTTTTGTCTTTTGTTTGGTTTCTGTTTGTTTGTTTGTTTGTTTGTTGTTTTTTTTTTTGGTCTTGTTTTTTTTCTTGTTTGTTTGTTTGTTTGTTTTTTGTTGTTGTTGTTGTTTKTTATGCGATGCAGTACACCTAAAACACTACTTTGCTAATGTAAATTTTTCTCATTCCAGTTTACCCACACCATTTTGCTGTCTGATTAAATTGGAACGAGAAAAAATTATTGCAATAGCAAAATTTATCCACCTACGCACGTGTCATTCTCTTGAAAATGAAATTTCTATTTTTCTAACCATCAAACGAAGAAATTATCTACTCTAGCGAATGACACGTGGTCTGGAATGGGGAAAAAACAGTGGTCTGTTGATTTATACCATGRTAATCACCTAGTTCTCTTCAACGACATAAAGTTAAAAATCAATGACTAAAAAAGGAAAGGAAGCAAATTATCTAACTAGAGGAGCAGTTATTGACATTTTAAATAAACTTGCTTAAAAAAAAAACAATCAAGGATCAGCAGTTTAATTTCTGATTAATGCTAATACAGCAATTGTATGATTCTAATGACACTGATTTTGTCTAGTTTAATAATTTTGGCACGTCGTTGTAAATAGGAACAGATTGAACAGGCATAAGACATCATTGATATTCAATACGATTGGTCAAATTATTACAAACAATAAAAGTAATTAACAAGTTTAATCATTTTTAACATGGAATTCCAATCATTAAACAATTCATCAGAATCAAAAGTGTTGTTCTTGAATGTATTGGTCAGTGATTACATAAGTCTTTATCACAGCAATGAACCTCGCAGACCTTTTTCTCACTGCAGAACTTCTCACAAACGGCTGTTTCTGCGCATGTTCGACGGAAGTACGCCACTTTTCTTCCAAGAGGCACCTCATTAACTAACATGCAGCTCCATCCCTTTTCGCAATGCCTGACGCGTTGATGCGCTTTACAGGCCTCTGCGCTGGATGATTCTGGACACTCGTAACATCGTAAAGCAGACCCTAAGGATTGACCAGCAAAGCAATTATTATTTTAGGAAACGCATGAAATTAATATATTTCTGGAGGATCAAACAATGGTTCCCTTTAAAAGATGCCTATAAAGCTTATTTTAGACTCGTTCAAATCACTGGCATAAAAAATTCTTTTATATAATCAATAGTGAAATCCGCTAGCTTAAAACCCAAGTGCAAATGACTTTTTTTTT